CCAAAAATAACCCTATTAAATCAGCAAGAGGAAAATCTGCTGTAGCAATACGATCCCAAATCAGATTTTTATTGGAAAACAAAATTTATTAGAACTAGTATCAGATTGATGTCTAGCACGTCGACCTTTATACCAAACAGTTGTTAGTGCATTTTTGCTTTCTGATATGTCCTGTGTGCAAGCATGTGTATGTATGTTAAATAGATGTACTCGAAAGGTAAAAAGCGCAGTAAGTCGCGGTTTTTTGCGATGAGACCGAGTCGTGTGTGCGCGAGATTGCAGTTGCGAAACGGCAGTGCCTTTTACGTTCCACCGTTTGACGAGTGTTACATTTTTTCCTATCGTAAATCACCTGTGCGATCGAATCTATCTGCACCGAGCTGCATTTTTCTATAAATGCCAGCATTGCACCGCGAGAAATTACCACAGTGTAGGGTCAATCAGCATGAATTTATCCAATTTATATTACCAACCACTTATCAACTAACTCGAGAATTGTAGTGTGAATTGCTGTAACTGGCAACACTGGCTCCGTGCTGCCTGTACCACGATATGTGTGATATGGTACAGTGGGGTATCTTACGTTTGGTGGCTCTATTCTATGATTTCGAATCCAGTTCCGAAACCGATTCCGTCGATTTATTTTAGTCCATATTCCTTTCGATTCCACAATTCCACGAGATACCATCGATGCTAATGAACATTAGGAATTTATTATCGGTTCCGTAAATGACACCATTTAAAAAGTTTAAAAAGGAGGCGCGATATTGCCCCCCCCCCCCCGCTCCCGCTCAAGACGGCCGATGATCCTGTCAATTTCCTCAAGAAAATGGTTCTTACCTATTTAATTAAATCCTGCCTGGAATTGATGTGCATAATCCTAATTTTCGGTTTCTAGCCAACACTTCTTCTGCTATTTTTTAAAATGTCTTTCAAATGCAACGTCTCTAAGCTATTCAGGGTATCCCAGAAGTCGACGTGAAGTCGGAAATGGGGGATAGGCCAAGTCATAATAGTTATCAGAAAAATCGGCGTGTTTGTTTGTTTATTTTCACCAGTTAGATACAAGTGTGTACATTGGCACGTCAAAAGAGAAATAAATAATTACAAATGATGAATACAGTGTAAAATATAAATCACAATAAATAGTACATAAATAAATTTCACAAAATATGTTAAACATCCTACAACATTAACAAAGAAAATACAAAGGAAAAAATTACACACAATTAGAGAAGCAGCTACAGCTGTAATATGCTTTAGTCAGAAGCAGTTCAGTAATTATTTTCTTATATAAACAATTCACAAGAACTGATTTAATGATAATAGGCAATTTATTGTAATATGCAATACAGTTCAAGATGGGTGAAGTTTGGAATTTGGCTGTTCTGTGCATTGATGTACTTTTCAAATTATAGGCTTTAAAGAAATCGGTAAAATCGAAAAAATATACACCCTTTGATGATCTTTTAGTTCGCATTTTCTTAGACGGAGTGACGGTCAGTGGCATTCTACGTAGTGTCAGCAAGAGAGATAGTAACGCCACTTTTATTAGTTCGTAAATGTATTTGTTAAATTCACAATAAATGTTCAAACTGCATTCCTTTAACAGCAATGCAATCTTGACATCTTAAAAATGATCGGGTTATCATAGTGGCGAATCTCATTAAAATTCAACTGCTTCCGTCATTCTGTCCCGCACGGCTATTATGTAAAAAACCTAAACGTCAAAAAAAAAACAACAAAATGTCATCTTACTGACTAGGTAGTTTTTAGGGTGCGAATAGTTCATTCCACGTTTACTCGCTATGATCGCTTTGAGTGACCATCTATGGAGGAATGATTCAACTACATGCATTGTTGGTTGCAGAAAGCAAGCATATGTTATGTGTTTATCTCTGAGAAGATGTGACAGACAGAAAGTTCGTTGAGTCGCAAGATCGCATCTGGATGATTATGTGATATTTGGTATGTGAGAAAATTATTACTGAATATGCTGCCAATGAAGTATATCTATTAGCTGTGCCCGACTAGTTATTTAAATGTTGTCCTTTCTAAAGGCATATTATGTTCAAAGTTATAAATTACGATTTGACAGAAAATTAGGAATGTCGCAGCATCACACTTTAACATTTTCGCAGTGCCTCACACCTAGGCGCTGATTTATATTTTCTATTGACATCGCAAGATAAATTTGTATAAAATTTAAATGACTGAAAATGAAAAATTATGTAGTAACCTTTTCACTTTCATAAATATTCCTGTCTGTAGCATATTTTCTCACCTGTTACTTCACCAACAAGGGATTTTTTTGCTTATCTCTCTCATTTTTGAAATTCAGCAAATTTGCATATGTAATTTCCAGAATGAATAAGAAAAGGTGGATGCGCAGCTAATTTCTAAATTTGAATCTCAAGTAAGTGTATTTGAGACAAGAAACCAATGGAATAATCATCAACTCTCAACCTCACTATGCATCTATGCACTGCCATTTCCTTCCAGCTATAGTATATAACTCCAGCTTAGATCTCCAGTAATGCCATGTCTGAAGCAGATGTTACATCACATCAAAGCCAAACACCACTGAAGCACCATGATGTTTAGACAACACATACAACTACAAAACGAGTTCACAACAAGAGTACATCATGTAGTGCTAATATCTTGTAGAAAAACCTAGGTTATGTCAAGAAAACCTACGTTATGTTAAAAAAAATACCTTATGTGACTTTTCAAGATACGTAATAGACGTGCTTGCTTGTATTTGACGTACTGAAGTACTCGGCACAGGTATCACGTATCTTAAAAAGTGACATTATGCCGATTTTTTTTTACATTATGCTGGTTTTTTGACATTGAGTAGGTTATTCTACAAGATGTTAACTTAGCACTTAGTTGTACGTGTTGCCTAAGCGTCATGAGGCTTGTTATCAATCTTTGGCTTTGATGTGATGTAAAATCTGCTTCTTAGATGGCATTACTGGAGGTCTGAGCTGTAAGTTGTATGTGTTGATGATAATTACATTGGGTTCTTGTCTCAAATACACTTAATTGAGATTCAAAGCTAGAAATTAGTTGCGCATCCACTTTTTCTTATCCATTCTGGAAATTACATATACAAATTTGCTGAATTTAAAAAATGAGAGAAATAAAAAATAATTATATTCACTGGACACTGTCGAATTACGAGCCATATACATGCTAACAGTAGTTACACACAACGCGGGCGCGGTGATGATTTCCCGTAATTCTCCTCAGTTTTTCGTAATTTATAACTTTGAACATCTCTTCAGAAAGCACAACATATAAATAACCCATCATATTCACTAATGATTTTCTCAAATATCACTGATTTTATACACTTACAGACCAATACACATAATCATCCAGATGCGATCTCGCTATTCAACCAACTTTCTTCTCAGAGATAAAAACTACAGACACGGATCACTCAGCCTCACAAAACTATGCAACCAATAATGCGTAGTTTAGTTAAGTGATTCCTCCATAGATGGACGTTCACAACGATCCTAGTGAGCAAACGTGGAATGGCTGTTTGCGCCCTAAAAACTACCTAGTCTGCAAGTTGACATCTTATTGGTTTTTTTTTTTGACGTTTTATAGGTCGTCTGCTTGTAGTGCGACGTCCTCGTAAGGAAAGAAAATTCACCCTTCACCATGTGCTTGATTTGGGAATCGTCTCTCTGAAAGTAAACTTGATCGAGATGACGAGCAGCATTTCTCACGATAAAACCTAGCTGCAGCACTAGCATTGCATCTACATTCTCTATAAATGAGGTGCATGTTGTTAAGAAAAAATTGAAATTTGAAGTAATGGGAACTAAAAGATCATCACAAGTTGTAGATTTTTCAGATCTTTCTGATTTTTTCAAACCTATAATTTGAAAAGTACACGACTTAGATTTTTTATATTTTTCTGATAACTATTGTGACCTATCCCCTACTTCCGACTTGACGTCGACTTCTGGAACACCCTGTATAATAATACCCCCATTATTTAAAAGCACATGGTCCAAGAAAAAGCAAACTTAGCTTTAAGAGTTACTTTCGCCAATCTCACGACATCAAATCCTCTGACATTTGATTTCGATCGTCTCTCAGTTTACAATAATATTATATTATATAATAATAATTTTATATTTATGTGTTCCCAAATGATGGTTTTAACAATGTTCATCATTACATTTTCTGATATTAGTAGATTTATACGCTCCCAGCTCCATATATTTGTCGTTAAAACTCAGAATGATACAGAAATGTTTTCGATACGCGTCTCCTGCTGCTGTCTGGGCTCAGCGCCTGGCGTAACGCTCCGCTTGATCATTCTGCTAATACTGAGGGGGTGCTTTAGTGGGCGCTGCCGGGTCTGACGATATAGGAAGGGGCAACGTTGACAGATGGATGGTAACTACCAATAGGGCGGGGAAAGAATGTGGGGGAACATGGGAGAAAACCACAGAATAAGTTTCAGGTGTTACAATTTCTTTAGGGTTATTTTCAATAATTTCATGTTCGATGCTAATGTAAAACTTATTCTTTAATTCTTTCAGTCTCTCTGTGTGTACTGAATAACTGATTTTATTGAAGTAAATAAAATAGATTTCACTGACCCCTCAGAACTACGCAACAATTTGACAGACACTTTCAAAATAACAACTAAATCACCTTCAAACGAATTCCAATTTACTACATAAAGATCTAAACAGGTTCTTTTGGAAAACATCTTGGATCACAACAGTTCTCGTCGTTAGACGTTAGATCGAAAAATGCGAAGATTTATTTAAGAAGGTAAATGAAAAATTCGTTAATAGCTTCATAAAACCAATGAACAATAACAAGCAGTACAGTGACATTAGATACACTGATAAGAATGAATGGGTTGGCTGTTAATAACGATAGGTATGCAAGTCTGCATGTTATGCGACTGAAAAACTGATTCCATGACGATTGAAAATTGAAACTGAATAATGAACTTGTAGGACTGGATGAAGATGTCTTTTATTAATGGCTGTTGCCAGAAACTATAACTTCGCCATCACTCGGTATCTTCGAAACTATGGCGCTTTGGACCAAGGTATGTTTGCTTGCTGGAAGAAGTACGACTAATCAAAGATTTTTGATACGTTTTTTTATTATATGCATGGAATTGAAGGCAATGTGTAAGCTTTTCACCACTATATGTCTATTGGGATCAGTTAATGACTTCCAGACTATTAACATTCAACGGCCTAAAGAATACAGGGTGTCCTGCTAAGAGCTGCAGCAATTACTAGAAAAATTGACAATCGACAGAGAGATTTTAGTGGTCTTGTTTTTGTGCTTCGTTATAATCTTCTTTATTTGGATTTTGCTCAGTAGCCAGACCGGATAAGCTGAATTAAAGTAATTTCATTAAAAAACATATTGGTTAGATCACAGATAAGAATAAATGCAACTCATGATTTTTGTTATATATCCAAGTGGCAGAGCAGCCTTTTGTTGTAGTTCTGCTGGTTTTGCAATCACTTGTCCTTTTGCGCTTTTAATATTCTAAACCTATTCATTTCTTGTCCGGTTTGAACACAAATGTTACCTAAACTTTTCTATGGAGAAATTTAAGGTTTTGAAATTTTGAGGATAGCATCACGTCAATATTGAAAAAAATAAATAACATGTCATGAATATTAGTAGTTTGTAGATACTATCAAATTACCGCGGTTCACTTTAGAGGTTATAAAAGCTCTTTTTTTGTCAGCATTCCTCATTTGCTGTCGCTCTCAAAAATAACGAAACTGGCAGGTTAACGATTCGTTATCTTTGTTGCACCAAAAACTCTCGATTTATGAAAAATTGGGTTTAATACGACTATTTTCAAAATGATTGCACTTTCATTTGTACCCGAAGTGAATAACGACATGCTTGTCTTAAATGGGCCACACTGTACGTTATTTATTTTTTAGATTCTACGCGAGATTCTAAACATATTTCGTGTATATGATCCTGTATCTAAGTCTAACTGGTTTAGAAATATCTACTATTTCACGTAAAAAATACAAATACCTACAAGCCAATAAATCATAACAATTATTTATCGTCTTTGTCATAAGATTTGTAACGGTTTTCTGATACTAGGGGATCAACTTTTGCAGAGATTTTTTCCAGATTTGGATAACGAATAGTATAGAGTGGATTTAGATTTTAGAAAACGTAACAAGGTAATTTTATAATTAGAAACCACGGTTTTTATAACATATAACTTCATCGTATTGAAAATAATGTTGATTTTGTATGAGGTTGCAACTTCGCAGATGAATAGGTAGTTTTCCAGATATATGAAAATATTGTTTTTTGATTTGTTAAATTGCTTAAATGTTCCATACGGACTTCACCATAAGATAATCTCGGTTTACCATGGCGGAAACAGCTCGAACTACTAAGGATACCACGTACGAGCCCCTTCCCACTTCAGTTGACCCACTTCAAGATTTGTACCAAAATATGCCTTTATAAACTAAACATGAAACTATTTACTTCTAAAACAATTAATTTTCTCAAAAAAATTTTAGATACACTCTAGTCGTAAAAAATACATATTTGAAATCACTTAGACCTATAACTAATAGAACATCTGAACAAATAAACAATGTCCGAATAAATGCTCAAAGTTAACAAAGCAGCAATTGAAAGATTACCATTGGGTAACATCACCTTTATTTTTTATTACGGCTGAAATTCTTTGGGGCATAGTGTTAACCAAGTTTTGGCAAAAATTTGGTGGAAAACAATCCCATATTTCTTGAAGCTTTTGTCTCAGTTCGGTAATTGTACGAGCAGGATGTTGTCGTTGAACCTTTTTCATCTCGTGCCACAAAGTTTCAATAGGTGACAGATCTGAACTGCTAGAAACCCATTTCAAAAGTGGTACATTATTTTCTTCCATTCATTTTATACCCTTTTTTGAGGTATGACACGCTGCACCATCTTGCTGAAACACAAAATCTTGGCCGGATGTCAAACATTCTTCCATCACTGGTAAAAGCGATTCTTTTAAAATTGCTAAATATTTGTTTGTATCCACATTTCCATCAATAAAATGCAGTTTTCCTACTCCTTTTGATGACATACTGCCCCAGACCATAATGGATGCTGGAAATTTCACTTTTCTATTCAGACAGTCAACATGGAATGCTTCATTTTTTTTGCAAATAACTCTACTGCGACTGCAACCAACACAAACTTCGAATCGGGCCTCATCACTCCATTGTATTGCACACCATTGTTGAGGTGTCCATTGTCTATGTTCTTTAGCCCATCTAAGCCGATTTTTCTTTTGCAGTGGAGTTAATAGTGGCTTTTCTTTGGCCTATAAACAAGTTGTGCAACTTTACGGTTTTTACTTCACTTTTTTTTATAAGAAAACTTACCTTGCAAGTGCTAAATCCCAGTTTGTGGGCGTCTCTACGAGTTGTATACCTAGAAATCCTAATTCCAACAGCGTCACTCCACAGAGCACTTAATTGTAAATAATTAGCACGCCTGTTTTTCACGATTATTCTTCTTAATGCTCTTCGGTCGGCATTTGTGATATTACTTTTTTTCGCATATCGTGGCTTAATATTAACTGAACCAGTTACGTTATATCTTCTTACAATATTTCTCACACTGTACCGCGATAGGTCTAACAGGGTTGCAATTTCTGAGTTTGATTTCCCAGAATTAAAAAATTTAATTATCAGTAACCGAATTTTCTCACTAATAACCTTTCCTCTACCCATTTTGAAAACCTTAACTACCCAAAATTATTTTAAACGTATTCTGACAGCTGTGATTAATAAAAACAATTGTCATGGCTTTTATTTTTCGCAGCCACCTATGCGTTATTGACTTATTTTGCATTGAAATGAAAATAGGTTGATATGTGTTATTTTTATGCTGCAAATTTGATTAGGGAGTGATAAAGTTGGTGTTTTCTACTATATATTATCAAAATATTCATTGTTAACATTTTAAACCTATAACACCCTGCTACATTATATTATTTGTCTTTGATAAGAAAAAAGCTAAGATTTCAATAGTTGGGCCAACTGAAGTGGGAAGGGGCTCGTAGTGATGGATTGAAAAAGCCGTATGGAGCACTTTACTCGTAACAAAAGGAAAAACCAATATCTTCATGTACCTCGGAAATCACTAATTTGCAAAAATTAACGTTGTTTACAATGCCTAATACAATGAAAAAAGGTATGGTACCCATTAAAAAATATATGGATTATTTTAAAACTGTTTATAACTTTTTTGACAGCCCTGTATTATTTGTTAACTAAGTATGTAATAAAATCTACTAAAGTAGGTTTCCTATCACAGGCAAAAATACAAGAAAATGTTCTAATCCATTGGGCTGCATTTGTTTGTCGTTTTGAGGTATCTCAAAAATCTCGCATAGAATTTAAGGGTGTTCCATTTAAAATAAGGAAGTTGATATCTATTTCCTGTACAACCGGAAGTGCCACCATTTTGCAGTTATAGGTGAGACATCGTATTCAGTAAAGATATCTGCAGTTTGAAAGTAGCTATAGCTTTGGCCCGTATCGTCAGTCGTCCCTACAATTGAAAGGGCGCCTTTATGGCCTCCTTGATTGTCATAGTTTTCTACTTCTCCGTGTCAGCGCTCTATTTTGAGGTTATGTCACAAACATCTATTTGCATCAAATTTTGCTTGCTTTTGAGTTATATCATGTTTTATCAGCCTGAAATTTCCTACAATTTAAAAAGAAAACATATCTTTACAATAGGAGAGCGCTGACGCTGACACGGGACAAGTGTAATCTAGAAATTTTTGAAGGAGAGAAAGGAGTATGACAATCAAGGAGGCCATAAACGCGCCCTACAATTGTAGGGACGACTGACGATACGGGCCTTAGACCCCAATAGGCATAACATCTATCAATTTATCAGTTTTCATTAAATTTTCTTGGCTATTTTAATGATTTTATTTATGTTGTCTATAAAACAATTAATCAGCTTCATTGTTTTGGACGATTTGTGAATAATTCGGTATAGTTATTGATACGGAGAACTAGCTAGAATCGAAAAAAGACTAAAACCAAATAAAAATTTTAGACCCGAAGTATTGTCGTTCCACCTGGTTCTTTTAGCATTCCGAAAAAAATAATATTGGTGTGCTACGCGTTGCAAATGTTACAAACTATCAAAAATATGATAGAAACGAATAAATACTATCAACGAACGCGCAGTACCAAAAATTCTCAAGCAACCTTAAATTCGGCCTGAAACTGCGCCCAAATTCATTCAGTTCATAAAGATTCAATTTTGTCCTAAAAAAGTCAAATTCTCAAAATTTCCAAAGATTTTGATTGAATATTTATAATATTTAGGTAGTATTTTACCTTTTCTTTGGCTTTTTGTAGCTTTTTTATATTTTTCAACCACATTTTTGATGACATTAAAGTATACTAGATTAACGTGATTTTTTTGTTTTTAAGAAGGGTAGAAACCGATCTGCGTACACGGAGGTATTAGATAAACTGAAGCGGGAGTTCTATCAAAGATGGGATAAGAAAACTTTATCTTCCAGTCAAGGTCTAGAGGAATTTACCAAAATCAAGACGCTGGGTACCGGATCTTTTGGGAGAGTGGTAAGTATTTTTAATTCGAATTTACCACTTTTACAATTTTTCATCCAACATCTATGAGCATTTTCTAATGCGCGCACAAATTGCATGCTATAATACAACTTTATAGAAGTATTAACATATAAATGATGATTTTTTAAGAGGTATAGGATTTGATTTTCAAAAAAAAAACACAAAAATTTGAAAAAACGATTAAATCTTTATTTGAGTCGATAGAACGGTCGATATAATTTAATGTTTAAAGATTATTTCATGTAAATGTTGGCCGCGGCTCCGCTTTAGATGGCCCATGCGCAAGGTCCAATTTTGGCACACTCTCTCCAACATATCGGCCGGTATCTCACGAATAAATGCTTCAATATTGGCTTCCAGTGCGTCAATCGTTGCTGGTTTATCCCTGTAGACATTAGCCTTAACATGGCCCCACAAGAAATAGTCCAACGGCGTTAAATCTCACGATCTAGGCGGCCAATTGACGGGCCTCAAACGTGAGATAAACTTTTCACCGAACTCGCCTCTCAATAGGGCCATTGTTTCGTGTGCGGTGTGGCATATGGCACCATCTTGTTGAAACCATATGTCAGCCAAGTCCAGCTCTTCCATTTTGGGCAAAAAAAAGTTTGTTATCATCGCACGGTAGCGCTCGCCATTCACAGTTACGTTCCGGCCATTGTCGCCTTTGAAGAAGTATGGTCCGATGATGCCACCGGCCCATAATCCACACCAAACAGTGATTTTTCCGGGATACATTTGGTAGCTCTGGCTGGTCTTCACTCCAGATGCGGCAATTTTAGCTTGTTAACGTACCGATTCAACCAGAAATGAGCTTCGTCGCTGAACACAATTTTTCGATAAAAATGTGGATCTTCCTCCAACTTTGCCAGCGCCCATTCACCAAATTGGAAACGTGGGAGGTCGTGTGGCTTCAATGCTTGCACCAGCCGTATCTTATAAGGTTTTACACCCAAATCTTGTCGCAAAATTTTCCACGTAGTGGAGTAACAGAGGCCCAATTGCTGCGATCATCACCCATCACCATCACTAACACTGGCGGATACAGCCGCAATATTTTCTTCAGTCCTCACTCTACGTCTGCGTGTTGGTGGTTTAATGTCCAATAATGTAAACTGGGTTCGAAATTTAGTCACAAGCTTCCGAATAGCTCCCTCAGTAGGCCGACCAAATTGCCCATAAATTGGAAGCAGTGCTCGATGCACTCTCTTAACCGAGCATGAATTTTGATAGTAAAATTCAATAATTTGCAAGCGTTGTTCGTTCGTAAGTCGATTCATGGTTAAATTATAGACCAAACTGAACAAGTTTGACAATGACACAAGACACGATTCACGCGTCATCTGTCAAAAACAGTGTTGCCAAAAAGATTCTAGCAAAAACATCACCCATTAGTATGATTAAAACAATCGGTCTTCCGTTATTAACAAATTCAGCTTCCGTTATTCTGTCCCGAAGCTAAGTTAAATTTTCGATCGCCTTTGAGTAAACTTTTTCCCACCGCTTCCCAATCAAAAAAGTCATAGTTACGAAAGTAGTTTCAGTAGCTTCACTTTGACCCTCAGAAAACCGTGAAAAGATCTGTGCTGTATGACTTTCTTTATTTTTTCAGATGCTTGTGAAACACAAAGATAGTGACAACTTCTACGCCATGAAATGCATAGAGAAAGTACGTATTATAAAGTTGAAGCAAGTAGACCACACGCTCTATGAAAAGAAGATATTAGAAGCTATAAGGTTCCCGTTCATTATATCTTTGGAATGGAGCTTCAAAGATAACAGCTATCTATACTTTGTGATGCCGTTCATAAATGGTGGAGAAATGTTTACGCATCTGAGACGGTAAGACACATATCATTTTTACTTCCCACGACATACTGTAATCGCGAAAAAATTCGAAAATGAAATATTATGTTTTATGCATGTTATATGACACCTACTTCACGACAAACCATGTCACATTTCTGTCGGTTTATCTGTCTGTCTATCCGCTAATCCTTGTCCCATCTATAACTTGGAAAGTACTGCGCGGATTTGAATGAAATTTTAACATAAGGTTACTACTATATCAGACGAAAAGATTTTGTAGTTTTTTAAAATCGGTCCAGTGCCGGCGGAGCTAGGGGCAACAAAACAAACAAAATAAAAATAGGCCAAACTTCGTTTGTTGAGGTTTCATAGGCTCCTGATCATTTTCAAAAAAACTTTGTACCTATGAACCTTAAATCGGTTGTTGGGGGTTGTAGGAGTAGTAATTGCGATGACGGGCATTCTCTCTTATACCCTCAAGAATAATTTCGTTATATTCTATATTCCCCCGAAAATTCTAGATATTTTGGTCTAAATTGAGCAATATCAGGTCTGTGATGCCCTTAGATGTTCTGGACCGCACGCGCGCTACACTGAAGGAATCAGCGTGTCCTCCCTGGCCGAGTGGCTCGGGAACCCGCTAAACCTCCTTCATGCTAGGGATTGGGGCTTGCAATTATTCCCCGTGAACGAGGGATTCGCAGTAAGCGCGAGTCATAAGCTCGCGTTGATTACGTCCCTGCCCTTTGTACACCGCCCGTGACTACTACCACTACTGATTGAATGATTTAGTGAGGTTTTCGGACTGGTACGCGGTGGCGTTTCCGCCTCGCCGATGTTGCCGGAAAGATGACCAAACTTGCTTAGAGGAAGTAAAAGTCGTAATCGCAAAAAATTCCGAAATTGAAATTTCATGTTGTTTGTATGTTATACAGTGGACCTCCGGTAATCCGACAAACATTATGCAGGGCAGTGTCGGACTATCGAATTTGTCGGATTATAGAGCACTGCCTAAAACCCCCTATAGTCCGGAATTTTTTACAAAAGAGTACCTTGGAATACGACAAATAACATATCCAATGGTAAGATTATATATGTATGTTATGTATATGTATGTACTTTGAAGTACAAATCATACATAGTTTATGTATGTCGAATTTAGTAAATTAAATAACAATAGAGAGCTTACGTTTTATTATAAAATTAAGCACAAATGCACATACATATGTACCAAAATAATCAAGAATTATTAATCAAAATCATTAATGAATTTATCAAATTATGAAGCTTGGAAATATTCATCAATTTTTTTTTTGTTTAAGGTTGTTATAACGCGAGATCAGAGCTTTGTCCCTCAGTCTTCTTAAAAGTAAAAGTTCGTTGTAGGATGTACCATTCTCTTCAGCCCATTGTAAACCTAGCTCAAAGGCGTTAATTGCGTCTTGTGCTGTGACTTGTGGAGCAGTTGCAATCACGTCGTCGTTATTTTCCTGATTGGTTGTTGTATAATTAGAAACCTCTTTTATAATCTCTTCGTCAGACATTTCATGAAAAACATTGTCTTCTTTATCCATTCCACGGCACCAGATTTCCAAATCTTCCGGACATATCTGTGTTTCAGTAGCGACTTTGCTAGGAGTGGTGACTATATCTGGCCATAACTTTTTCCAAGACGATTTAATAGTTGATGATGGTAACGCATTCCACGACTGACAAAGAGCAAAAACCAAGTCTTTCATATTAAATTCTTTTAAAGTTTTTTCTATTGGTTGATCTTTTGATACGGCTCTCAGGAGTAGGTTTTTCTTATAGTCTTGCTTGACAAACGGAATGATATTCTGGTCCATTGGTTGAATCAGTGCAGTGCAACTTGGCGGAAGAAACATCGCAGTGATTCATTTATCCTCAGTTGTTGGTTCTTCTTCAGACGGATGACCGGGAGCGTTATCAAGAAGCAACAACGCTTTTTGAGGAAAATTATGATCTTTTAACCATTTTCTAACTTCAGGTACGAAGCATTCATCAAACCACTTTGTGAAAAGGTCTTTTGTCATCCATGCACTTTTTTGTCCGTAATAGTGTACAGGTAAATCAATGTTTTGAATGCCCGTGGTTTATTAGATTTCCCAATGACCATCATCTTAAGCGCGTGTGTGCCCGCAGCGTTAGCACATGGTAGTATGGTTACACGCTCTTTACTTACTTTTCGTCCAGGTACGGATTTTTCGTTAGGCATCACACGCCAAAAAAGCCCTGATTCGTCTGCATTGTACACCTGTGACGGGTCAAGATTTAAATCGTTCACCGTTTGCAAAAATCTTAATTTAAAGGGCTTTAAAGGGCTCTATACACGTGGCATCGTTAGAAAGTTTCTCTCCTGTAATAGTCATTAAACGTATGCCATGACGACCTATAAAACGTTCTAGCCATCCTTTGCTGTCCACAAAATCATCTTTTTTTGTTATTTCCTTATAAAAGAACTTAGCTTTCATGGCCAACATGGGTCCTGAAATTGGTGCATGCCTATTTCTTTCCTGAAGAAACCACATGTACAAAGCTTCTTCCACTTCTGGATGTTCAGCTTTCTTGAGTGTCTGTCTCTTGCCTGGCCCGCAGTCAGTAGTTGACACGAACTTCTTGATCTTCTCGTGGTTTCTTTTAATGTCATAAATTACAGATCGGCCTACGCCGTATTCACTTGCTAAACTACTGAAAGTTTCATTGCGAATTAAGCGGTCTAAAATATCACATTTTTGTTTAATCGTCAATGTTTTGTGCTTTCGCTTCTGAGTTTGTGATGACATTACTAGGAACTATACTTAATACACAATGAATAAATAGTAAACAATGAACGCACGCTAGGCCGTACCGCTATCTCAAGTATTCAAATTCAAACTAAGTAAAATAATGCGGGGGTCCACTGTATTGTCTAAAACTTAATTAAGAAAAACTGATTCCCAGTGGCGTCCTTGAGGGGCATGTATCACCATAAAGTAGCGACGTAGGATAGTTTTTAGAAAAACCCATGACATTATTTTTTATATTCTATAGACACCCAAGAGATCGGTCGTTCATTTTGAGACAACCTGTGCAAAATACACGGCATACTTAACATGAGTTCTGTTTGGTTTCAGGATGCGTAAATTCAATGAGGTACTGGCTAGATTCTATGCTTCACAAGTGCTTCTCGCCTTAGAATTTCTACATTTCTGTGACATTCTCTACAGAGACCTGAAACCCGAAAACATTTTGATAGATTCGAAAGGTTACGTTAAAATAGCTGATTTAGGATTCTGCAAGGTAAGTAAACTTTCAGTTCTACTCTTAAAAATGCTTGATTTAATCCGAAAGCTTTTGCGTTGATATCGTTTGATTTTTATTGTTCACCTTATTACTGCCGATTAGTCTTCCCAGCAGTGTTACCAGGTATAGTGGATCTGTTTTCGGTTGGCTCATGTGAAATTTTTCGGTAGATCGTTAAATCTTTCTGTATACGGTAAGCAAAAAAACAAAAACTTACCGCTGAAAAGTAACCTCCAGGTATCTCGTCAGCGAGGGAATCGCTGCTAGTCTTCTTTTTTCCTGCTCACCGGTAGAGATCGGCTTGTCGCTCTCAATTCCTGCATGTAGAGTGCTGTCATCAGCAAAGCTGTGGATCGGATTGATCGTACAGGAGATGAGGTCGTTGATATGTAAGAGAAACAGAGTCGGAGCCAAGACCGATCCCTGGCAAACAGCCGCGTTGACGTTGTGGCATGAAGAGGAGAACCCGTCAATTAAGACGGATATCTTGCGGCCAAAGAGAAAGTCAGCCACCCATCTACAAAGCTTCTCTGGGAGGCCATAGGATAGAAGTCTGCATAAGAGGTCACAGTGCCTCAATTGTCGCTAATCAAGCCGTGACGCTCGAGGTAGTCCAGATGCTGGCGATTTATGCACCTCTCGAACACTTTACTTATAACGTAGAGCAGAGCTAGAGGCCTGTAGTTGTAAGGGTCAATCTTAGATCCTTTTTTGGGGTGTGTTGGACATGAGCAAATTTCCAGTTTTCTGGAAGAGACGCGAAAGAACTGGAGCAAGCTCCGCTACACACTTCTTCAGTACAATGATAGGAATCAAGTCCGGACCAGAAACTTTGTTGATGTCGAGTTGTCGAGCTTAGGGAACCCTTTGAATTGACGGCACTTGGGCGTTGGGGGGGACATCTATGGTGGAGTTGGCAGCAAGATCTTGGCAAGCACTTCCGCCTTAGCCTTTGAGTCGCGGGCTCTGACCGAAACCTAACCTCCACAACGCCGTGGTCTGAGTTACCCAGGGGGAACCGGACAGCAGTGCTGTAAGGGATCCTGTCCTGCGTGGTCAGAAAGAGATCCAGCAGGCTAATGGCATGTGACGAGACGCGGGGGATAAAAGTAGGGCTCGTCACCAGCTGGATCAGCCCTTGAGAAAGAGCGAACGCTTCGACTGTACGACCTGCTGCATCGGTCTTGTTTGAGCCCAACCAAAGCTCATTAAGAGCATTGAAAGCACCGATAAGAACTATGTCTGAGGCGGGGTGATTGATGTTCAGGAAGTCGATCTTGACGGCGAGGTATTCAAGTAGGTCATCCCAGTTATGGTCTGAGGGAAAGCGATAAAGGCAGCAAATAAATTGTTTTGGAGTTGAGGCGAAGCCACTGAATGTCCTTCCGGTCTGATTACAAACATACATCTCTGGAGCAGGAATTTGGGCCAAGAAAAGCATGGCGGGGCGATTGGATTGCAGGTAGTGATGAACAGCATCAATGTTGCTGTTAATCCCGCAGGTGTTCGAGAAACAAATTTTATCTTTGATGTTGTTCCCTCGAGCCCACCTTGCACCCGGACATTCCGATAGTGGAGTGTGTTTAAGACCGGAATTCTTAGTAGGTACTCGAGGGATCCTTCTTCATTAATTTCTTTGTTGGAGAAGAAAACCGAATGCGTAGCTTAGGAGTGGAAACATGAGGGCATTTATAGGACACCTTGGAGAAAGCTAGCGGGTGGTACATCTTCGGTCAACTGGTTCTTGTCTACCACCTTCTTTTTGCGTGTTAATGATGTTAAATAGACCCAAAGTGGCCCGTTGGCGGACTTGTACCGCCACCCAGCAATTCGTACTGAGGTACTTCTTAACGCGTGTACAAACACTTGAACGGGAAGAAGTTGTAGACTGAATACAACAACTTCCGGAACAAGCATTTGCTACGGCCCCGCTCAGGATAAGACGATTTCATGACGTGGTACTTCTTCATAATTTGCAAAGAGCAAGCAAGCAACAAGCCTAATGGAGGTAGATGTTTCCACAGGTAAGTATTGATACAACGCTGTCACTTTGGTAGGCATTGGTAGATAAATAAGTCAAAAGTATGCACTAAAACTGCGCAGTTTTGGCGACAAACAATACAATGTAAAACATATACGCTTGGCTGCATCTAATCTATTCGAATTAGCGGCTAATTGGCTTTTAAGACCTGACGCATGAAATTATAACGATTTATATTGGTATTGTGACAAATAGCGCCATCTGTTGGGCGAGTCTCCTACAGAGCTTAATGGCCGATCTCAGAGATGTCGCTTTGTGGTCTTTCTCGAAGCGGCAATTGGGACTATATATAACTCGGCGGCCGGGAGGCATTTAACACTATGGTATAGGATTCGGCACCAGCCTTAATTTTATTGGTCAATTTCAATTTATTTAAACAATAACAAGCTGGGTGCCGAAATCACTACCGGAATGTTAAACAGTGCTGAAAACAGTGTCATAATGTTATCAATAAACTGCTTCTACTAATATATATATATATATATATATATATATATATATATAACTTGAGACGTGGTCATTGTCGTCTAGACCAGTTAGGTGAAAAATTAAAGCTTCCGCCTTTTGTTGGGTACTTCGACAAAATTTAAGCAAGGAGGACTCTTTATACTTTTTTTATTCTCTCTAGCTTTCAATGGTCTTTGCCATCATCATCAGAAGAGTAGTATGTGAGGATGTTGTTAATTCTTGTTTACGTTAAGGATGGGGGTAACACCCAGTAACATGGGGAAAGCTGGATAAATGGTACAATGGTCAAAATTATATAAAATACACACAGCTGTATGACAAGAACAAGTTAAAAACAGATTAAAATTTTTTTTAGAAATTGAAAGTTAAACATTACATCGTGAAGCCACTTGATGATTCCACATGCCCACCATTTTGTGCAATCATCAAGTGGCTTCACGATGTAATGTTTAAGTTTCAATTCCTAAAAATTTTTTATCTGTTTTTAACTTGTTCTTGTCATACAGCTGTGTGTATTTTATATAATTTTGACCATTATACCATTTATCCAGCTTTCACCATGTTACTGGGTGTTTCCCTCATCCTTAACGTAAACAACAATTAACAACATCCTCACATACTACTCTTCTGATGATGATGGCAAAGACCATTGAAAGCTAGAGAGAATAAAAAAAGTATGAAGAGTCCTCCTTGCTTAAATTTTGTCGAAGTACCCAACAAAAGGCGGAAGCTTTAATTTTTCACCTATATAAATATATATATATATAAATTTTAAATGTAATTTTTCTTATTGCTAAACCAAATTATTAATTTCAAAATCATTAAATATCGTAATAGGAAACAACTTGCGTTCATTATTATCTTACGTATTTTTGCGGAAGGTAAGTAATTTAAATTTAAATTGATAACATTCTGACCCCATGCTCAGCACTGTTTAACATTCCGGTAGTGATTTCGGCACCCGGCTTGTTATTGGTTGAATAAATTGAAATTGACCAATAAAATTAAGGCTGGTGCCGAATCCTATACCATAGTGTTAAAATGCGGCCGGGAGATGGAGGAGAGTACTGAATACGGTAGAGTAGCAGAGCGGAGTGAAGTAAAGTGCAGTCAATGGTGACATAAGAATTAGTCAGACATAAATAGTGGTGCATATAAATAATTTATCAAATTAAACAAATTAGTGCATTTCTTTTTGTGGAAACCAGTGTTTTAATCCACACCCAAAAGAACCCAGAAAATCGCTACAGTATCAAAAGAGAATTATCAGTTTGAAATTTTCTAACTTCAATGCTTTACGACATATACTATCTATACGTTTCTTAAAGTCAAGAGATCCATTAAGGTAATCTGCTCATTTCGCCGCAATCCTGTGTATCAACTCCGCCTAGTTTCAAACCTAGATATTGGAGGAAGATTCATACAAAACTGTTAAATTACGAACTTTAATTCTAATTCCTGACTTGATCACCTCGCCGCCAGTCCAAATCGATGCTCGAGTCTCTAGGAAATTCAATAATGCGCTTACACGGTCTACATCGTGTCTCCAAATTAATTACAGACGAGACTACATCGGGATGTTTGCTCTTATTTCATTGACCCTTGAGGGCGAATAGGTTTACTACGATGCGGAGCATTCCTCCATTAGGCAAATGTTTTGGGTAAATAACACCTAAGTTTTTTGGGGGTGTATTTTTTAAATCCATTATTACGTATTTTTTTAATGTTTCATTATATCTATTAATTCATTTCATTAATCGCGAAAAATTTCGAAAATGAGATTATGTTTTTTGAATGTTACATGACATCAAAGATAGTACGTTGACAAGGCAAAAAAAGCTTTGTAGTTTTTGAAAATCGGTCCAATGGAGTTACGGGACAAAACAGAAAAAAGCTCAGACTTATTTTGTTTGTTTAGGAGGCTGTTGATTATTTTCAGAAAAAAAATTGTAGGGTTTAAAAAATGAAGGTTGGAGGAAGTGGGGGAGGGTATAGCTCAATTTTTGCTTATATACCTGTACATATACTTTCCAACCTCGGTAATTTATGCACATATTAGACGAATTTCACAAGAGATCTCGATGAGTGTCCTGCTATTACTGCTGGTCAGGTATGGGTTGGGGGAGGGGCGACGTTGCCAGATAAACATCAGGATGTAATTTCTGTCGAACATGAACCTTTATGGACTGATGACCGTGTTGCGTGGAAAGTGCAAAGTCAACCTACTTGACGCCATTTTTTTTATTAAACATGTGCATGCTTGACTTGTTTCTAAAAGGGCTAACTTGTTGCAGTTTGGGTAGCTACTACTTCATCAGGTTGCTCCACATTAAAATATTTATAGAAAAGATGTGTCAAGTAGGTGGACCTCTATACCCACATGCAATTACTTTTTTAACTTGACGTTATATTTGCAAATTGTCTTGTTATGATCTGATTAATGACAACTGCGTGAGAAGTACAGACTCAACCTACTTGTCAGCACAAGGCATACATTCCCTAAAATTTAATTGAATCAGTAGTTTCAAAAACCTCATAAGCCATACAGTTTGAATTTCTGAGGTGTCGGGATTCAATGAGATGTGTAATTCCTAAATAAACGAGCATTAAAGGACTGTTCTAGCTTAATATAGTGTCCGAGTTTTAAAACATTAAAATGTCAAGAAACATTCAAATCAGGGGGGGTCGAAAAGGGAAGAGAGGGAAGAAGAGAAAATGAGAATGAAGTTGTGTCATCTGAACGCAAACGGCTTGTCGATACTCCTTTAAAGTAGGCAACCCCCTAAGATAATCCGAATGAATTTATTATATTTTATTAAAGAATATTGACAAACTCCTGTTAATTTCCAGATCGTAAAAGGTAGGAACCTGGACGCTCTGCGGCACCCCGAGTACATAGCGCCCGAGATAATCTTAAGCAAGGGTACGGCAAAGCGGTCGACTACTGGTCATTCGGGGTACTACTCTTCGAAATGAGCGCAGGTTACCCTCCTTTCACAAGCTCAGACCCCATGAAGGTCTACGAGAGGATAATCGCCTGCAAGTACAAATGTCCGGGGAGTTTCTCGAGTGAGCTGACGGATATTATCAAGAATTTGTTACAGCTGGATTGAGTAGAAGGTAAGCTTAATGAAGGTTTAATTAATGTCAGAGTATACGAGGGCCACAACCTTTTATTATAATATTTAAACAAGAACTCCTATTTTTCCACATTCTCATTTCATGCAGAGGAAGCTACAGCTGTGAACAACTGGTACAAGATAGGCGTTAGTTTGTTACTTATTTAAATGGATCACTATCGGCTTCAAATTTAATTATTAAAGGTAGTAGGCCTGTTCGCAGATACTCATTTTGAGCATATTCTAAAGCTTTGTCTCTTCAGCACTCTTAAATGAAATTGATTTTTGTAGGGTCCAGCAAATATGACCAAAAATGAGCAGGGGCATATGGCCATATCATATCTTCTTTCAAGTGCAAATAATTGATTTATATTAGTATCCTGTTCTTCAAAGGTTGTCTTCAGCTTTTTGTTTTGCTAATGGAAAAATGATAGTTTTGTTATGGGTTGTATTCAATAAAATCACCATAATCGAAATTGGCCTCTGCATTTTTAAGCAAAATAAACATGTCTGCAATACGATTTCCTTTTTAAAGTGGCATATCGTTTACAGATTCGGCAATTTAAGGAGTGGCGTACAAGATATAAAAACCACCGTTGGTTCAGAGACGTAGAGTGGTTAGCTCTATATAATAGGCAGGTATGAAATATTTTTTTATCTTTTGGGTTACTATTTTGTTCGTATTTGTCAAATAGGAAGCAGCATGTAAGCTATTATACTTAGCCCCCTGCTATTTCTAATATACAGGGTGACTTTGAAGTTGAGTCATTAATTTTCAGATAATGATTGTAGAAGGAAGATAAACCAAAATATGTGTGTAAAAATAAAAAAAATTAAAAAAAAATGTTTACCTTGTTTTATAAAGTATCCTCCCGACAAGTATTTCAGTGCGGACCTGTATTTGATCGTGAGGTCCCCTGTGAGGTCTTAAGTCACCTGATTCACGAGCCCGTTGTACTACATTAACAAAGGCACGAGCGGTTGGTTGCACTCGATTGGGAAACCGATCCGCATAAACATGTGCCATTTTTTATTTCGTTTGAGCCACGCAACAGACACTATTCACACGCGTTACCGACTGACACTGACTGTATGTATAACTGAACTGAATAAAATAATTGTAAAAACATCGTTCCAAATTCTTTCGCTTTTTGTTTCCGATGCGATGAACCGATAAGGCGCGGATTATATCCGTTGTTGCCAAACACGAGCACATGATATTATTATTGAGACAGGGCGGTACTCAAACTTCCAAAGGGCTATAACTTTGTTACTTTAATTTTACCAGAAAGATGGTAAAGGAAAAAACATTTCTTTTGATCAGATCTACTCACTGTTAAAATAATGACTCAACTTCGAAGTCACCCTATATATCAATGACCTGCCCTCGAGTATTGATAACGGATCCTGCTTCCTATTTGCAGACGATGACACCTTGCTGTCTAGACTTGACCAAAACACGGGTTTGGATATTCAAAAGATTGTTTTTAGCTAAATGAAAACAATATCATATTACATTTCATCTGACAGGTGGGTTGTGAGATATGGACCAGTAAAACGAATAGTACTCGATACACAACTAAACTGGACAATGGACATTCACATTGATTATTTACATTCTAGACTGTCTACACAATTATTTGTTCTTAGACAGCTATGCAGACGCCACGATACCCATACTTTGCCGGTAGTGTACTTCAGCATGTCCCATAGTCAATTGCATAAGACACAATGCTCTGGGAAACTCAGTAGCATCTAGCAAAATTTCACAAAAAACGGATTGGGGATAATTACAAGCTCTAAATACGGACAAACTTGCGGAAATCGCTTAAAAAATTTACAAAGATTACCACTTCCATCAATTTATATTTTTGAAGTTTGCACGAAAGTCTAAACAAATATCAAACCTCTGCAGAAATACACACCCATGCACTACGTAATGTTATTTACCTAAGGAATCCATTCCCGTGACTAAATATAATAATAATGATAATTTATCCACATCAACTCTGACAAATTCATATGCCACAAAAGGACATATAACATCTATAATCTATTCTATATAATATAAATGTAATATGTACATTAATTTTGGATGCTAGACTAGCAGTGAAGAAAAGATGTGTTAGTTTTTTATAGATTACATCATGTTCATATCAGTTTTCAAAAGCCTCTAGTATAGATCTATTTTTAATAATGATATTCTGTTTTTTCTAGTATATTTTGGTATGTTATGATGTAATTTTGAACTAAGTATATAGAAGCTTTCAACATTATTTCTTTTTTTGGGGTTGCAATAATTATGTCTTTTTTGATTCCTAGTTCATATTCATAATTTTTAGAAATGGTTGAATGTTTGTTTTTTTGGAATTCTAGTATAAAATTATACCAAAATAATTTTTTTATATCTAATACTTTTGATTCTATAAACGATTTAGAGGGATATAGTAAAGGTTTATTATGAATAGTCTTTGTATTAATTGCAGAGAATTTAGATGGTTATTATTCGTGAATCCCCAGATAATAATTCCATAGGTTATGTGGCCTTCAACTAAAGTTTGATATAGAATTTTTAATTGAGTTTCATTGAAAATTTATCTGTAATATCTGAATTTATATAGTAGAAATCTTAGTTTCTTTTTAATGTATTGGATATGTTCATCCCAACGAAGATGGCAGTCTAAAACACCAAGCTATAAAATAATAGACCTAAAGTTAAATTATATAATTTACTTACCCTACTTCTCAAAGTTTCTTCTCTAGACATTGCTTAACCAGTGTATGGCGTCACTCGGATAGATAATAAAATAGTTGTACGACCTCACAGGTACATTGTATACAGGGTGACTTCGAAGTTGAGACATTTATTTTAACAGTGAGTAGATCTGATCAAAAGAAATGTTTTTTTCCTTTACCATTTTTCTGGTAAAATTAAAGTAACAAAGTTATAGCCCTTTGGAAGTTTGAGTACCGCCCTGTCTCAATAATAATATTATGTGCTCGTGTTTGGCGACAACGGATATAATTCGCCTTATCGGTTCATCGCATCGGAAACAAAAAAGCGAAAGCATTTGGAACGATGTTTTTACAATTATTACATTCAGTTGTATACAGTCAATGTCAGTCGGTAGTGGATAGTGGTGTCTGTTGCGTGGCTCAAACGAAATAAAAAATGGCACATGTTTATGCGGATCGGTTTCCCAATCGAGTGCAACCAACCCCTCGTGCCTTTGTTAATGTAGTACAACGGGTTCGTGAATCATTTGACTTAAGACCTCGCATATGGACGGCATGCCGGTGCTCCAAGACCTCACGATCAAATACAGGTCCGCACTGAAATACTTGTCGGGATGATACTTTATAAAACAAGGTAAATTTTTTTTTTTAATTTTTTTTTTATTTTTACACACATATTTTGGTTTATCTTCCTTCTACAATCATTATCTGAAAATTAATGACTCAACTTCAAAGTCACCCTGTATACATAATGTGATCAATAAATGGTAATAGTATAAAGGTATAAATAGAGACAATAAATAAATTTAGCACAAAACGTAGGTGGCTACGAGTCTCAAAACTTAACAACAAACCTCATGTATCCAGTTTTTTATTGTTTTACTAAGAGGTCTCATTCACGTTTTTCTAAGAACACTCAGCACTAACCTCACCATCTAACTCCGGAAGAGTCTATCAAAAGCTTGATTTGAGTTACAAGAGTACACTTCCCTATATTCCGTCGATTTCCTAAGTAGATTGCATTTTCTCACTTAACTAGTTATTTATGACAATGAGTACGTTCTACCTTATATATATTCCAATATATGTATAAAGTAAAAAAAAAAATTGTCAGAGTATAATCGTTGGTGTCTTCCTTCAGGTGGAACCACCATTCAGACCTGCAATCAAATCGATGGGCGACACCAGCAACTTCGATCCCTTCGACGAGGAGAAGATGCGTGTCAGCGTCCATGATCTATACAAAGAAGAGTTTGAAAAGTTCTAAGGAAAACAGCTTGTTGCAACTGGTGTTCTGTTCAAAGTACTCAGTGGTCGTGATGTTTAAGAGAATTGATGTGTCATTTTTATATGTGTTTATGTCACCGTTTTCTATTATTTAATTATAAATTAAGGATCTAATATGTGTTTGTGTTCGCTATAATGTTTTGTCATCTCAAGCAACACTATTTGTCTAGTCATTCGTCGACAGATTCGGCATCCAGGCTACAATAATAAGAGATGATCGATATTGTTATTTTTGAATATGTGTGATATCTGATATCGGTATTTTTTGATACCATGACGTGATTACCACTTTCGAATAACTATAAGATTATGGGTATACATACTGATGTCCAAAGTACGGCGATGAAATCGCAAACAGCCAACTAACAAAGCCTATGAGGCACGATTTCACTTGCAGGCCACAATACTCTCACGATGGTATACGATTTTCGACTATGGAGTATGGACTAATTGTATATGGGCCCGTTTGCCTGACTTGACCCATTTACTTATTTCTTTGTTATACAAGGAACAAACTTGGGCCGAACATAAACTAATGGCAGCTTTGCATAGGAAGTGCAGAGTAAACCTAACTTGACGCTATTTTTCTTAACGGGGGTGTTATTACAGCCATCTTTACTAATTTGCCAATCAACACTCAGCATCTACGCACTAACCCGCTGAAGTTTATTTAGACTGACTGCACGTCGAAAATTACTGGCATAGCTTTGAGCCGTATCAATTGTGGGACGCCTTTATGGCCTCCTTGATTTTCGTAGTCTTTTCTCTCCTTCAGAAAGACTGGGGTATTTCTAGATTTCTACTGTTCCGTGTCAGAAAATAGATATTTGTAACATAACCTCAAAATAGAGCGCCCTTATGAAAGACAGGAAAGACTATGAAAATCAATGAGGCCATAAAGGCGTCCTACAATATTGTAGGAACGACTAACGATACGGCCATTAGTGCTCTATCCGGTAGGTTACACAATTTAGTTTAGTATCACCTAAGATTCCATTTTTTTTTATTAGCTCAAATGATACCCTAAAAACCTTGCCGTACCAGTGCCAAGGTGGAGCAAATTCTAATAGGCCTTAAATATTTTATTTCATGTTAAGATATTCTGTAAATAGTAAATAAAAAACAAAACGCTTGAAATTTGCATTTTATTGTACACTCATCAAGAGTTATGTAAGATACATTAAATAAAAATAATTCACAATTCCATCACACAATCAGTGCGAGTCACAAGGTACACTTAAAAACGTAATTCTACTATGCTTAATTCATAAAAAAAACAAAAATTGTCAACGTTTTATAACTTACCTAGCCTATCAAAAACGATCTTTGAGCAATCTCTAAATAATAAAAAAAACATCCTTACGATAATATTAGAAATAAAGAATATACATGACTCGAAAAGACATAAGGAATGACATTCAACATTCAGTAGCTGAGAAAAAA